ACTCGGCAAAAATGATTGGAACTGGGTTGGGATGTTTTGTCACACCCACCATACAGCCCTGACCTTGCGCCTTCGGATTACCATTTGTTTCGTTCCATGCAAAACTTTTTAAATGGTCAAATTTTTAACAACGCGGATGATGTCGGATCACACCTAATTCAGTTTTTTAATAGCAAAGATCAGACATTTTAAGAACGGGGAATTTTTACTCTGCCAGAACGATGGAAAATGGTCATCGAGAAGAACGGCCAATATCTAATTGAATAAAGTTATATTTTTAAACAAAAATTCACGAATTTGCCTTCTTATTTGAAATCGGCAATGACTTAGTTGCCAACCTAATAGGTTAAAGAGGCGAAAAGGGGAACTCGTTTTAATCTTCATTTTACCAATCATCTTTGTATGATAGAACCGACATAGTTGTAGCTTTATCCAAATGAAAAGTGAGTATTGTGGAAGTGGAGGAATATGACATACAGTGGAGTGATGGTAGTTTGAAGTCAACAGCTAACTGCAGATTAATGGACTTTTTTGCCTCATGAGTATGCGTTGCCCAGAGTGCACAACGTGGAGGTAAGTCTATCCCACACCCCGTCTTCCGGAACACAAGAGCCAAATTTGAGGAGGGGGGGGGGAGGTGGGGTGTGTATTTTCGCTGAACTCAAGTTTCGTTTCTCCGAACATCTCGTTCGATTTCAAGCCGCACCAACTTTCATGAGGAATGATTGAAGGTTGTCTAGACTAACTAGATTAAGTACTCAAATCATCTCTTGTGAAAGGCAGATTTTGGTTTGAAGGAGCACAGGGTGAGACATAAAATCGCCTTAGAAAAATATTCCTCGTGGGCTCCATTTTGAGCAAATGGAAACTTACTTCATTGCATTGCAATAATTGGTGCCCATCTCGACTTAAACTCTATTTTACTACAAAGACTGACCGTTTGGTTCTGATTAATTTGTGAAATAATGTCAAAGCATTACAACCTGTGTTTGCTTATGACATGAGATAATAATACTTTGATTACGATGGTGATGTTAAGCTTGACATTCACTGTACGCCTGTTACCTACTGGTTTAAAATTGCTCGTAAGCTCACATTATCAATCACTATATCCAGTAAACAGACGTCCGCAGACCAATCAGAATACGCAATATAAAACATGTCAGCTGGATTCTGATAAACCTCAACACATATGCAATTCTAAACCCCCACACAAGTGTTGAGGAATGGATGTTCCCATACCGGAGTATCGTGTACTCCATCTGTCACTTATTAAACCTCACCTTTAAATAAGCACCGTTGAAGTATGGAATGACTGACACGAAGAAATTTCCAACTCCACAGTTAGAAGCGAGTTTAAACAGCAAATTAGATACCGCCCATGTCTATTAATGAGAGTGTCTCATTCCTCTCTTCACATCGAGATTCTTTGTCTAGATAGAAATTATTTTTGTTTATGCCTTCGAGGGTTATCCACTTGGACGATTAACTTCTTGAGGATAAGGATTTGGATCCTTGAAGCCAGAACGATGAACTTTAAATTTCAATTACACGATGCAGCCAGAGCAATGGAAAGCCTGTCATTTCATCTCTATTTGGAATATTTCTTATTTGCTAATTAGTGGAGTCGGTATGAATTCTTCAACGAAATCTCCTATCACTGACACTGGTAACTAGTCGTTAGGTTTACACAGTCGTTTCTAATTAATTTCATTCCACTTGAGGTTTCAAGGTTGACCTTGGTTCGCCTTAACAACCTGGACTTAATCACCCTATTTTGCAAAGCTTCATCACTTAGTTTCTTATCAAGCACCAATTAGGCTTAGCAACAGTTAAATTAGCATTTATTTGACATCAGTTTGTAGAATTGGTGAAATATTTTGTCAGTAACTTAATTTTCATAATCCCCATTTTCAAAATACAAAACGGAAGGGAATTTCCATGTGCTGATAGCTTGGTTACCAATATGATAGTCTGATTAATGATTCCCTAAAGTTGTCTTTTGTAGCTTAGTCAAATGAAAAGTTAAGTTTCCCATCGCCTGGTGGCCTCAACCACATAAATTAATTGTTATTCCACAGTGAAAACGTCAGATCGTCCTCACTGTGGCCACGGTCAATTGACTGCATTTACAGATGGTTCAAAATGTTCGCTTCAACTAAGCGATATTTGTACTTCCAATGAACGGCTATAGCCTATTTACTTAATTGTTGTTCAATTTCTGTTCTGATCTTGTATAAAACCGCCAGAGAGTGACGAAATTTCTAGGGTTCGAATCAGGCTAAATATGTAATTTCCATCTACTTAAAATTGATGGGCGAAAAATAATTTCCCACCTTCTTGTGCTCAAAAGCGTGTCTAGTCATTAGGTCGCTTGATGTTCACAAATCTGTTGTTCGTGCGCAATTAAGGTTTTGGTCAGCACAATTTCGCACACACACAAAAAGGCCTTTAGGAGGACGAACTAACTGACTTGTGAGCTATTCGATTCTACTGTGGAATTCACAAGCACAAAGTGAATGTTTCCGCATATAACTTGAGTTTCCCGAGAAAAGGACTAGAGTAATTAAATTACGGATTCTGAAATTGAGGCGTTACTTTACTACCATCGCCTGCTCACCTATTCAGCCAGTTAATTACAGTGCAAGTTTTTGTCTATAATTATATATATATATATTTTATTTTTCATTAGTCACGGACCTAGTGTCATGTCTTGAAGTGAACTACACACAACTCAGAGCTTGTTCAACGTAATAAAGTTAAATATGCGAGATTGCTAATCTAATAACTGGTGAATCTACAACAGGCCAAATCGATAGAATTATAGTGCATAAATTTTTAACAATTCTATTTATGATTTGAATGCAATTTCTGTTGGAATTCAAGATGAACTCAAGTTAGAATTAACTAGCAAAGCCATCTTCATTTTCAAATTTTAAGCTATTTCGAAGTGACTAGTCCAAACCACTTGGAAATTTCACGTTAAAATTGTTCCCAGAAAAAAAAGTTTGTTGATATCCTAATGATTTGAACATTTGTGACACGTAGTCATTCATGGGATGTTCATTTTAATTATCGAGACGATTAAAACTCCTTACGTTGCTACCCTATTCTCAACTCCCCCCCCCACCACCACCCCCCTATCTGTACTCAACCAAAAGGTCTTAATACAGCTGTAGCCTAGTCACAGCCGTGGTTTTAACACAATTGAACTAGAGGTAAATTGGCCCAGCTAATCCCCCTCCCCCCCCCCCCCCCCACCCAACTTCCTCCCTCACTACCCGTCTTAACCGATTTGAGCATAAAGGAGTACCCCTTGCATGCCGAAACGTGTTTGACTCACACGTGTTAGTCGCCACATTTAAAACTAGATAAATCCTTAGCCAAAAACCACACGAGTCCACAATTTCCTGAGATTTATGACGTATGCATGTGTTGGTTCGTCATCAATACATCCACTAATTAGCTACCTTACCTATTTACCCACTCGCAAACAAGGGTGAGGTAGCGACATTTCTAAAATCCAACTTTGAGGTCACACACTGGACGCCAGCCCCGCGGTTTTCCTGTTGTGGCAAGCACACACACACACACACACGCACACAAATAATCTTGAGATATATCTATCCTTCTTAAACTAAATGACAGTCCACCACTTATCCCCCCAATTTAAATGTAAACAAATTTGAGGTATGATTTATTGAATGGGCAGGGGGGTTAGGGGGACAGACTTATCTCCTCCTCCTCCTCCTACTAGACGTCTCTTAATTTCATCTGTGGTAGAATTTGCTAAAATTGATGGATCCGCGAGTGTCTGGATACGGATTCCCCACCTTGATCGGGTGATTGTGTGGACCAGATATGGAGGAGGGAGTGCTTTAATTTCCCAAATAATAGCAACGAAATTGCCACCGCGTTGCCCACACCAATTATAGCCTGGGCAAGTTTCGGTTTTGTCAATGACCTTTTACCCTTGGGTCGACCATATAGAAGCAAAAGAAAGGCCAATCATTTTCGCTTTGCGTAATATAGCAGCAAATCAGGAAGTAAGTGGAGTCACATTACCTAAACTGCGTGTTTTAACCTCATGGACAAAATACTGCCTGCCAATTAGTGGCCCGTTAGATGTGAAGTTATCGATCATTCAATCCTCCATTTCTCTCACAATAACCTTGGTTAATTATTACCATGGCAAACAACTTGTCGCCAATCCTAACCACCTGATTCTGGTTTTAACAATATTCGCTTGAACCCGAGGTGATAAAACTTACCGCTAAGTTGACAAATCATTATGCTCTGAATAGACGAATACAATTCTATCTCACAAGATACGAGCTAATGCACAAAAGTTGAAAGCTCAGATATTGAACAGGAGACTGTGCCTCTTTAGAAAGCAGATGATTTCAAATCAGTGGAGGAAGAGGGCAACATAGAATATTTTGCCCACTAGAGAGGTTAGATCTCATGACTTTCCTTGAGAAGCAAACTCCTGTCCTACTATTAAAGCTTTTTTTTCACCAAATAGACTTGAACGGGCTCCACGTATCGCCAACTTGCCTCCGTTGGGTGCACGCTTGCATAACACTGGTTTAATCTCCAAACCCAGCTGAACTTTAGACAATTTATACTTCGTCTCCATCCATGACGAACAATTCGTAAAGCACTTTCGATTGTGCCCTCTCATTAGCAAGCTTCTACTCGGACGCTTATCATCGCTACCTTAGATGAGAACTCAAAACGTTATCATGCTAAAATGTTAACCGCACGCATTACTCTTGTCCGCGGATAGACAAAGGGCAGATCATCGCTTGGCAAGCATATTCGAGTTGAAGTGGGTACACTTAACCGCAGTTGACTACGTCAGAGCTTACGCACACCGACAGAATGACCGAACCATCCATCTTCAATCCCCCCCCCAGTATGATGAGAAAACATGGCAAAATCGTAGAATAAGTTTATACAAAATAGAGAAGAACGATGGGATTATCAGTCTATTATATTCAATGCTCGTAGGGGCGCCAAATTTTGGCTGTTTCAGGATTTCGTGGCCTCTTAAGTGGTGGAGTTGAAGGGATTGCAAAGGATGAGGAGGAATCAGAGGGATTTGATGACGAGAAAGAGGGTGAGGTGAGACAGACATCCAGACCACTGTCTACACTCCCCCTCTTACGACCCGCCGTTTGCGTAGGGGTCATGCATTTCGGAGCAGGGAGTGACACTACAGAAAGTGGATTCAATCGACCCACCACCGGGGTGAATGCTGAAACTCTTGGGACGTTCTCCTTATTTTCATCTTCTTCAAATCTCTCTGTTGAGGTAGAAGAAGACGGCTCGTTCTGGTTCACTCGTTTTCTACGCTTCTGATCTTCGGGGGCATTGGAAGACTTTATACTCAGTCGATGCATTTTCGCTTGCAATTCTGGTTCACTTTTCACGAATTCAGATATGCCTTTTAGGACATTGACGCACTGATTGAGCATATCGGTAATCTCAGTCCTCTGGTTAGTTTGCTGTTGGGGCTGAAATAAGGACAGTGTGGACCAATTAGTACACAGGGCATATTTAAGATTTTATCTAAGCTTAAAGGCCTGTGAAAAATATCGATCGAAGCCTGCAAGACTTGACAACTAAGGCTAGAGGCTATTAAAGATCAATACTCTATTGTGTGCACTCTGGAGATGAAGATTAAAACAAAGAACTCAACTCTCTGTAATCTTTTATGCTCGTGTGTCTTTTAAGAAGGCGAAAATTCCTACTTAGTTAATAATGAGGACCCCGTTTCACCACGTTGCGCACAGATGCTCAATATTAGCTGTCCAGTCAGCCAAAGAGCCCAGGTGAGAGACTTTTATAGGGGGGGGGGGGGGGGGGGGGGGGGGGAGGAGGATAGAAGCAGCAAATGGTGGCGACTTACTTTTTCTCCGATGAGTGAGACAGCCAGACTATGAAGAGCTGTGAGTTTGTCGGAAATGCAAGCGCGACGTCGGCGTTCCATGTTCTGTTTTTTGACCTTTTTAGAAAGGGGGGAAGGAGAAAAGAAACACGTTAGCGCACACACACACACTCATATGTGATTAGGGCGCCTTAAAAATTAATGACTTCTTGGCATATGGGCTTACAAGCTATAGACAGTTTAGGGGAAGAGGGGGAGGAGGAAAATTAAAGTCATCAAGTCATCTATCACGCTCTCTCAAGAATGAGTCATTCCACAACCTCCCCAACTCAAAAGGTCTGAGCAACTTACTCTTCTTCGCATTTCACGATCATCTATGGGAGTTATTGATCTTTTCCCCCTGGCTACTGTTGATGATGGAGGAACAGGATTTTCAGGTCTTGGAGCAATAGCAGGAACCGAGAATGGTCGAGTATTTGTGGATAGATCCACAGCATATGGATCAACAGAATTGGAAGCTGCAGAAATAGGAATAACGAAAACAGGCTGATAAGTTTGATTGGATTGAGATGGTAGATGGAGGCGACTATGCTGCTGAGGTACTGAAATCCCAGATGGTCGATATCCCAAAGGAGCTGAGGTCAAACCATGCGGAAATCTCGGAGGAAGAGTAGTTGGCGGTGGAAAAGCCCGACGGTTAGAATTCATCTTGCCCAAGTGAGCCGCGTGTCCGTTTACAAAGTGTGGCAATGGCACACGCACACGATTGGTACACGCGCAACCAATAGCAATGTGGTTTCCTATTGTTGCTCCCACAAATTAACCAATCCTTGATTAGTGCGCTTCCTATTGGCCTTTTTTATTAAATTCCAACCAATCAGAGCTAAGTAAAGGGGTCATTATGCCAAACGTGATCCACCAACTCGATTTCTTACCTGTGTCAAAGAAGCTAAAAGTAGGAATTAGATTCTGAGCCGTTTAAATTAATTAGCTAAGATTTACCAGATACGTGTGCCACTAAATGAATGATAGGAGCATACCATTAACAAAAAGGCAGTAATGCTCTTTGATTTAATTATAACATCTGTAAAGGGGTTTTTGAGTAGTTTTAGCTCGTTAGACTGGTGCGAATATGGTAGGAACGAAAAGTAGAAAAACAGTGGACTAATTTTTTTGCTTAAATGGCTTATCAGGCCGTTAAATATTGACCGTCGGCTGACCTAACAGATATTGATTCCGTCTTATTAAAGTAATTCAGCATTGTTGATATTTTGAACGGAAAGTAAATCACGGTTGACCTTGAGTAAAAAAAGGTGAGAGCACTTTATATTTGATATGCGTAAAATAAGTTTAGAAATGAACATTTAGAGCTTCTTTAGAGGCCATATTAATTCATAATGTAAGATGGAACATGACCTAGAATTCTCTTATTAATTCACATAGTTGTCAAAGAAAATTCAGTAATACACGTGTGATTATAAAGCTACTATACGTGTAGTTGATTCAACTGAGTAGGACTGAACTGTACCAACTGCATAGCTTATACAGCCTCGTAACTATGGCGATTAGAGTGACAATGAACCCATTTTTTTAAATTCGGTCAATCATTTTTCTTTCTTCTCTTATCAGCTGAATTCGAATAAGTCGATTTGTCCTTAAAAACAACATTTTAAATGTAACCAACTGCATTTAAACCTTGACTAGAGACGGGATAAACGTTGCCAATTATTTTTAAAGCCTTGCTTTCAACTGTACTATCCTTGAGAAAATGCTATATCGAAATGATGAATAAATTCGTTTTATTTCACTGTTTATTTTATTTTGGGCTTATAAAAAAAAGCAGGGTTGCCAACGCATCTTGGGAACCTACATCTTTTGAGATGCATGTTTTGTTCAAATGGAAACCGCATTTGATCAAATTTTCAAATAAGTTATCGATCTCTCCATTATACTAAAATACTCTCTATAACTGTATTTCATAAAAGCTGTTAAACATCTTCGAGTCAATTTACAATTTAAATAGAATTGGGAAAAGTTTCGAACTTCTTACTTTCATTCACCTCTACCCAATTTATAGATAGAACTCCATTCAAATCTCTTTTAACTTCAAAACTATGACCAACGCAGGTGATATGGAAACCTCCCATTATTTATACCCCTCGTTGAAGAGATTTTAATGAGAGTGTGCGGTTTATTGAGCAAAGACACCTAAAACACGTCTTCTGTTAGCAAAACGTGATAAATGATGGTCTTACGGATTTTAGCTATTTTACCTGAAAATATTCTACCCATAAAACAAAGAATAGACCACCCTGATTTGAACGAGAGGGGGTTTGCCTTCGCCACTTTCATTTAATTTTAGCCATACCATCTGTGGTTAACGTCATCTTTCAACCCCTTCAGAGCCTTCTTGAACGGTGTCGGATTTCAGCATGTGCACATCTTGATTTGGCATAGTCTAATTAGGAGGATACTGTCGCGTGGATGAAACTGGGAGATTTTTGAATCTCTAAGGCTCAAAAAAGACTATAATTATCTTTAGTTGGAGAGACGGTTTAATCAAATATATTAACCGAAAACCAAATGCTAGTATATTATTAGTCTTGCTAGCAGATAAATAAATAATACAATAGACGATAATTTGAGGTTTCTTTGATAAATACATCGTGGAAAACTCACATTCTAGACAATGTTAGAGGTCAGCTATACAGCCAGGAAGTGACAGAGTTCAGAGATTATTTCGAGTTGTCAATTAATTGTCTTATTTGATGAATCTTGTGAAATTGCCTTATAAATATTAGTCGTGTTTCTGTTGTGCAAAATTCTGCGGATAAGAGGGGAAGCAATTGTTTCCTATTTCTAGTGCAGTACAGTGAAGTAGAACGGTCATATTGATTTTGGGGTAGGCAAGACCTTTTTGATCACCCCTGAATTGGGACTTACTTTTATAAACACCAGTAAGGTGTTTATAAGGCGATCGATAATTGGTTTTTTGTGCACTTAAAGTGTACTGAATAAGGAGGATGGTTTGCAATTAAATTTTGGGCATTTATTTATTTAGTAAATAAGTTAGTAAACGAAAATGTATGTAAAATGATGTAATAGTTTATTTTTTTTGAGTTGTGTTTTCACGACTTCTTCACTATGCACAAAAGATGTTATAGTTCTTTTTACCATTGCAAAGATGTTTATCATTATTATCTGTAAATCTGTTCCCGATAAAATGCTATCAAATTAAGTAAGCAACATCTCCGCCACTCTATGGGCATCATCCTATTGATATTTTCTGAAAATGGTGATCCATAAATCCTCTTTCTAAGCACCACTTCCTATTAACCTATTCAGGGAAGATTAAGAAGAATGTATATAGCGTCTTAGCATCTAGAATATGGTGATTTCAACAAAAGACAAGCTACAACAAAAATCGTGTAAAGTCACGTATGAAGTCATGGGTAAGAAAAAGGACGCAGAATGGAAGCGTGGAAATTTTCTTTGTCTGAGAAGTCCTAATTTCCAAATCACGAACAATTACTCAAACAAATACGTGCAAAACTATGGAATAGGGCTAAGTTGACAGTTGGGAGGATTTGCTTGAAAACAATGGAGCATTTCGACGTGGTAAAGGCTTCCCCCTACGCAAGAGACAAACCAACGGCAAGTAGAAGGCCATGAAATTGAAAACGACGCCTACTGTATGACCCAAGCCACCATTTGAGCAATCCACGTCCACATGTCCACATGGCCCTAGTATTTGGGGAAACTTAGCGTAGTTAAAATGCAGTTGTGAAAACCAACGTGTGTGAGAACTGCAGAGGTTAACTTTTTAAGTAGAAAAAGGCATGCACACACAAATGTGATGACTTTGAGAGTGGTGTCACTTCCATTTTTGTTTTTTTCCAGCAGTG